AGGTTCAGACTTTGAACCTGATGGAAAAATAACGTCTAAAATATGTTTCTGCGTTTTTTGTAGTTTTTTGTTAATGTTAACATTGCTCTGATTAACAATAATTTATGATATTTCATACACAAACCTTTTTGTCTGTTTGTAAGAAATAAAGCATTTAAGAAAGCCTGTTTTCTTTATGAATTTGATGGTTTAAACATAGAGTTATTGTAGTAAACCCACTATGTTTGTTCTTAAAGGATATTACAGAGAACTGAAATTCTTGGATGTGTTATATCCAATGTTATCCTGGATGTGTTACATCCAGTGTTATCCTTGATGTGTTACATCCAGTGTTATCCTTGATGTGTTATATCCAATGTTATCCTTGATCTGTTATATCCAGTGTTATCCTTGATCTGTTATATCCAATGTTATCCTAGATCTGTTATATTCTGTGTTATCCTGGATGTGATATACCCAATGTTATCCTTGATGTGTTATATCCAATGTTATCCTTGATCTGTTATATCCAGTGTTATCCTTGATCTGTTATATCCAATGTTATCCTTGATCTGTTATATTCAGTGTTATCCTGGATGTGATATACCCAATGTTATCCTTGATGTGTTATATCCAATGTTATCCTTGATCTGTTATATCCAGTGTTATCCTGGGTGTGTTACATCCAGTGTTATCCTTGACGTGTTATATCCAGTGTTATCCTGGATGTGTTATATCTAATGTTATTCTGGGTGTGTTACATCCAGTGTTATCCTTGATGTGATATACCCAATGTTATCCTTCATGTGTTATATCCAATGTTATCCTTGATCTGTTATATCCAGTGTTATCCTGGATGTGATATACCCAATGTTATCCTTCATGTGTTATATCCAATGTTATTCTTGACGTGTTATATCCAGTATTATCCTGGATGTGCTATACTCAGTGTTATACAGTGTTAGAGAAACGTATAAGACTGATTTCGAGTGAGAAATACAGTATTCTTCTAGTTAGGGCTAAACTACTTGTTCTATTTCCAAGAGAAGTGATGAGAAGATTTAAACTGTTTTCTGTAAAGTTTCTTAACACAGCTAGTTAAGACAGACATAGTGGGATACAAACACGTGTATTTATATACAACATGTTACTTAAAGTTTCGTTAATCCTAGCTGAAGCAAGTCCCTCAAATGAGAAAACTGACTAGAAGCTAATTCGTATTTAACTGACAAGAAGCTAATTCATATTTAAATGACAAGAAGCTAATTCGTATTTAACTGACAAGAAGCTAATTCATATTTAACTGACGAGAAGCTAATTCATATTTAACTGACAAGAAGCTAATTCATATTTAAATGACAAAAAGCTAATTCGTATTTAACTGACAAGAAGCTAATTCGTATTTAACTGACAAGAAGCTAATTCGTATTTAACTGACAAGAAGACTAATTCATATTTAAATGACAAGAAGCTAATTCATATTTAACTGACAAGAAGCTAATTCATATTTAACTGACAAGAAGCTAATTCGTATTTAACTGACAAGAAGCTAATTCATATTTAACTGACAAGAAGC